TTGCTGGGTAGTTCCTGAAAGTAGTGTAAAAATTATCAAGTTAGGTACGTAGAGGATTTTCACTATTATATACTGTCATACAATTCGGTGTTGCGGACTAATTTTATCCCAATAGCAAGTTATTTATTTTAACGGCAAAGTATCGTATTTCACAGACCATGGCCATAAGGCGCACCAGGCTATTAGGCGCACCGGGTTATAAGGTGATATATATGATCGATTTCAAGATAGAAAAAAGAACTTGAAGCGCTGCTTATGGTCCGTGAAATGCGGTATACCAAAAATTTCTGATCTTGGACTATCATTCTCCCCGTGTATAGCTAAAGCTGTTTGGAATTATGTACAACTGGGTAAACAAAATTAAAGAAAAATTTGTATCTGGAAGAAAGATCGATTGAGTACTTTGTATGTGGCGTATTGTTGCGTGTTCAAGGATTTATTCGGATATATAAATTTTAATGTTGATGTCTTCACATACCTTGAAGTTGAAACTTTATTTGTTCCTGGACCGCAAACGCGCTTTTGTCTCATCTGCCAGTTTGTTCCGCTTTCACTTCCTGTTCCGCGAGGGCGACATGTGTAGGCTTACCATAAATCTGAAACAAAAAACCGGGACGGTGCGAATTGGCAAACATTCGGTTGATTGCCAGTCTTTGTAATATTGAAACGTCTACCATGCCATTGCGGGTATATACGGCTGTAAATCTCTATACTGATCATTGAATTAGAAAAAACACAAAAAAATAGTTTGTATTATTTATTTAGACCAAAAGTATTTGTTCGCAGATGGAACCCTTCTCAAAAATTCTTGTTTTGATTTTGTCATAAAACTGATAACAAGAGACATCACCATTAAATTTGCAGGTTACGAGTGCTTTTATATTTTCTTCTGGCATTCTGAACCTGCTTCCAGACCAGAAAATTTTAACAATGGAGAAAATCTGTTCAACAGATGCCGATGTTCCGGCAAACAAAATCAATGAGTTTCTGCAAATTCGAAATGCTAATATTTCTGTTAGAAAAAACGTTAAACATCTCTGTCCACTTAAATTCAACCGCAAAGTGAGCCAAATTGCATTTGAACCATGCTCAGATAAATATCTCTTTATCAGTATTCGTCGAAAAGTGCATCTCTATTCAAAACCTGACTAGCTAACCGAACATATCATTTATCAATTTTGCAAACCAAACACTTTAGTCCAGTTTAAATCACCCTTCGAATTTGTCCATATGTGGGGCCCGGGGAGCATTGTAGGCTTCATCATGCAGCTTTATATATCGCAAACATTCTTTTTAAATACAGTTACGTCGATTTCGCCAGAGCGTTCCAAGGATTCCAGAAGTACAAGTTATTGCGACGGAATTGAAAGACTTCATCCTTTTTCCTTCAAATTTAGTTTCACCTCTGACATCTACGGCAGGGGTCGGCAACCTTTTGTCGCTCGCGGGACAAAATTAAGGGTTGCGAGTCATTGGAGGGCCGTACATATTTTTAGAAAGCTGGAACTGAACGGATGATACTTTTTATAATAAAAAACAAGCAGTAATACATCTTTCGAATAGAATATAGATTTATTTCCTCATTGCATCTCATAAAATTGCATTTGAATATTTTCAGCGCCATTGAACCCTTTGAACTTCGCATCATTTTTCTGCGTTTTGTTGCCATTTGTCTAATTATAATTCAATTATAGGCTCATTAAACGAGTAGTTGTGAATTATATACTTGTTAGGTTATAATATAATTTAGTTTAAAAAATATAATCGTCAAAACGGCTGTTTTGTTACTATAATTTAGTGAAGCGTCACGAGCCGGATTATAATATTCTGCGGGCCGGATCCGGCCCTGGAACCGTAAGTTGCCGACCCCTGATCTACGGCATTAGTATTATCTTTTTTCAAAATTAAAATAATTTTGTTGAAGTAGGTGAGCTGGCAAAGGATAAATTTCAAGTGAAGTTCGTACGCTGGAACATTTAAGCATAAGAGTAGGACATCCTTCTTGAGAATCTGAATAACTTATCAAGCTTTCAAACAGTTCCGTAATCCTTTGCAAAGCAGGTAATAAAGGGAAAAACCGAGTGTTGCCATGCTGTAATAGCCGTTGATACTCACTATCAACAAAATCGCAGAATGATTTCTCCTCTGTTACTCGGACAGTGTAAATGTTGAAATATTTATACATTTTGACAACAACACAAACAGGCAAAGTATCTACGACATGTTGAAAATGGCATCGCAGTGCACTGTTGAACTACATGGTACGCACAATCTATACCGGTTATATTTCTTCTAGTTGGAAAAAAAAGCATTATTTGTTTTTCGTCTTTTTACGCCTCCAAAGTTGATGTTGCAATTATCCGCACAGAATCCAACAACTTTTCCGAGAACAGAGAGCAAGTATTCAGTAAAAGTTTTGGCGTTTTCCCTGGGTAAAGATTTGAATTCTAATAGTTTTATCTTCACATCAACATCAGGTAAAAAAAATTACGAACCACAACTGGAACAAGCTTTAAATTCTTTCTGTTTGATGCATCGAAGGCTACTGATACGAAAATCATCATTAGGTTCAGAGGAGAACAGCGGAGCAATTCAATTAAAAATCACCGACTCTCATTTATTTCTGGCTAAACGTGCAAAATTAGCGAATCTGCTTATCAGACAGCGGACATCAGAAATTCTAACTGTGTATAATTAATGCAAATTTTGGCTAAAAAAATTAAAATCAATTCAGAGGTGCAGTCAAAACTTTGTGTGATAGGCAAATGTCGGCTGCCAACGACAAAGAATCATCCGAATTTGTTATCGCAAAAATTGGTCAGTCGAGTCGATGCCTCAATTAATGTTTTGTGCTTCCTGCTTTGGATATGATCGTTGACATCAGAACGACCGTCTTGACTAATAGAAAAACAGATCTGCAATGCGTACAGTGTACCTTTCCTCCTTCAGTTTGCGCAAAATAAGGAAAATCTTCTTTCAACTCATTAGAAAATTTGTACTTCTTCTATGGCATTTCGACAACTTAACGGCATTGTAGTTAACGCCAGAAAACGCATTAAAACATATACCGATTGTGACATACCAATAGAGCAATTTTTGACTCTCTGAACTAGCGAAGTGTGTCGCAAAACAGTGGTAAATGGGCTGCCACCGTTGAAAAAAAATTGTAACAATAGGGAACATGAATTTTTCACCCATGACAGCCGTGCTGACAAACCGGGACATTTGAGTCAACCGGCCGGGACGCCGGGACAGCTCGTCAAAACCGGGACTGTCCCGGCTAAACCGGGACGTATGGTAAGCCCAGACATGTGACCCTTCCACTGACGCTTTCAGCGCGTGGTTGAGATTTCGTATTGAAGTTGCTGTGGTCGCTTTCCATCGGATTAAGACTTGCGCTCCGGCCCGTTCCACGTTTGAACACGGAGCCATCATTACCCATTGGGTGAGGCGATTGGTTCAAAGGAATGGGAGGTAACGGCTGGAGGGAACATGAATTTGGGGGCACGCTAGTAGGTGGGGTCGATGACGTCGACAGAAGTGAAGAAGCCGACGGTTCCCTTGATCCCATACTGGTAGCAACCACTGATCTACTTCCAAGTTCTCGCATTTGTATTCTTGTCCGCGGAGAGGTCTGATGAATGTGATTTGAAGTATGTCCTACTCCATTGAGATTGGTGGCCATAATATGCGGATGCTGCTTGTTTTTCCCTTTTGCACCGTGACCTACAGGACTGGTCATGCTTTTACAGCTACCCCTGCTACTTAACGCGTCACAGGTAAGTTTAACGCCGTTGAGTGTAGTCTCGCTTCTACCGAACGTTCCTGAACCATGTCTTAGTCCAAGTACATGTGAAAATCCTTGAACTAAACCGCTTGGTATGGATCCCATTGTACCAGCGGAGAACGATGGCGATGTGACGTCATAGCGGGTCCGTCTGTTTTTTTGCATCATTCGTATTCCGCAAATGCCTTTGAGAACGATTAGCAGTGGCACAATGAAGACGAGAAGTCCTGGAATAAATTCTTTGATATATTATTAATCAATTCGCGAATTTTAGAAATATACATACACATCGATAAACATGGCCAATTAATTCCTCGATATAATTCAATTACAGTTAATTTACCCACAAAATTCAACTTTCCTATATTTTCCTAACCTTATTAGCAATAGAAAAACTAGTACAACATGCTCCGCCCTCATTTGTTTGTGATAGACCCTGGTACCGCATCTTGTAATTTCTACCAAAGGAAGGTGAAGTAGTATCCCCAAAATACCCCCAATAAATACTATAAAATGAGGCCCGACCAATTGTATTAATGCAGCCGCAATTGCCCCATTACCAGTATTATAACCCCATTGCTGGCGGACTGCCGCATACTTCGATACTTGTCAAACGATGGGAGAACGCCCGAAAAGAAACATAACCCGCGTCTTTTCGGGAATTGTGCATACGAAATTAACAAAGCAGAAGCTTTGTTCTGCTTTGTTAATTTCGTATGCACAATTCCCGAAAAGATGCGGAATTTGAGATTAGGTACACCTTCACGGGCACCAAAATGCTAAAAGTTCGAGAACCCTTAATGTAAAATATTCAACGACTACATTGTTGATATAGTAACTTGATATTAATTCAAATTTGAAATTGTTCGTTACGGCATCGAATTCCGCGCGAAAATATGCATCGAATTCCGCGCCAAAATATACATCGAGTTTCAAACGCGAAAGATTCCTTCCTGTAGGATATATATACAGAGTCAGGAAAGTAACATAATAGATAATTATTTATTAGTTTTTACAACAGCGAATAACACTACTAAAATATTCCACAAAATAAGTGATATATTAGTGTAACTCATAATTCATTTTCAATAATGAGAGCATTTATGAAATGCTTTGCGCGATGCATTTCATACGAATGATTGGCCCATGTTGAAAATGAACATCAATTACCAAGTTATGCATGTTAAATTACTGATTATTTTTAAAAGGGTCTCATAATCGACGCGTTTGGCGTTCAAACATTGGAAAAACATTCGAAACGAAATCTTTCCTTTTCCGATTGTAAACTACCAAAACATTATTTGAAAGCGATGTTTCAACTATATTATGCCATTGTCTTGGAAATCTTCCTCGCTACAACAGAAACTGTTGCTGCCGACCTCCAATACCTCTTGTCGTCAAAATTCGCCAACGATTTCAATAATAAGGTAAGTCTAGTTATTGTAAATGCTTACAAATCGGCACAGTAAAAGCAAAATAGCTTTTTAGAGAAGAACTTCTTTGATCTTTCGTTATTAATGTTGGATCAGGGGACACCTTTAGCTTTGTGTTTCAATGCTGTGTCTGTTTAAGTTTTGATTTTAGGGGATGCCTTGTGTCTACTTTTAGGTTTGGTCTTTAGATCTGAAAATTACAAAATACATCTTCTCAAAACTTCAAAATTTTACATGATCTAATTTTGCTCAACCTCCGAAATAACATTCCTAAATTATCGCCCAACAAAAATAATTTTAACTGAGAGCCCATTACTCCATCAACGAAATTATTTTCACAACAGGAACTCGAAGATGAAGACGCTTCTATTTCTTTTCTTTCTGTTCCTGGCAACTTTCCGATCTGCTACTGCTAGATGCTCGTGAGTACATAAATAGGATTCAAACTGTATATTTATTCCGGGGGAGATCCAATATGACGCCTTGCTCATTCATATGACGAACCACGGCATTTCGTCCGGTTACCAGTCCATGCCGGTTATGGGATTAGTTAGCCAGTTATTTTGTTTTAGATGCATAGACTTGCTGGTGGATGAACGGTGACCGTACATTTGAACCCATGTACATTTGATCCTATGCGTATATCCACGGGTTCAATCTATATGCGGGTGCTAAAACCCATGGGTTAGGGTTAGTATGGGTTTAACTATCCGTGAAACAAAAAAAAATCCATAGGTGCAATAGCATACAGGTGCAATTGTCATGGGTTCAAATGTACGTGGGTTCAAATGTAATGGAACCGGATAAACCACTTTACGGTGGGGTGAGAAGTGCAGCAGTCTACTTGCACATGATTATTCTTCGCGGGATTCGAACCTGCGAACCCACGAATGGTGCCGGGCGTATTACTAACCCTTGGCACGACGCGCCACACCGATCTGATTAAAATACGTTGAATAAACTTTTATCAGTGCTCTTTTACATTTTTGGTTAAGATTTCTAGCTGTGAGTGAATTTATATATTAACTGTATATCTTAACAAAACTGAATATTAAAAAAATTATACAGGAACTGAATCATTTTTAAAATTTTATGGGGTCTTACAGCTTTTTTTTATAATGTATTGACAAACTTTTGAAATTGTAACGTTTCTTCTAATTCTTTTTTTAGGAGTTATGACTGCAAGGAAAAGTCCGTTGAAATAATTGGTAAGACAATAATTAGACACACGATCATATATATTTCGCGGCTGTTACGTTCAGTGGTTTCAAGCCTGGCGGAATACGACAATATAAAGACTTATCGATATAAATAGAACTTTCATGGCACTCTACATGACACTATTTCTTTTCATTAGATAATATTATTTTCCTATCCAAACTGGACTTACATAGGATATCGTTAAGATGCCTTGTCGAACAGGGCATCAAATGACCTAATTATTTTTCAATTTGTGGCTTGTTTAAAATGACTATCATAACATTGCCTACTGGTTATGAGTGCGACTTACCTTCATATTCTCAATGAAGCTATGATGATATAATGTTTTCCAAATGGGACACCAAAATTATACCGTACCGTCCAGCAAACAGGTCGCAGTTATTACCATTTCATGGCAGCTCCCGCCACGAACGAACCGCGCGTCTCTTTCCGTGGTTTTATGGCGCTATTATCGGTATATTCACAAAGTCATGTACCAGATTTTAGTTTATCATGCGGAATTATATCTACTTAACCTGAAACTTAACCCCAAATCTATCAAAACTGTATCCACAAGGAAAATGTTCCAATTTACCCAACATTTGTCATCATCAGGCAGCCCTGGCATACAGCCAACATGCCTTGGTTTGTGGCAGCAAAATTCTACCCGCCATTGGTTTTCAATTTGCTGCTGTGATCCCCGTCTCGCGCCATTGGTTTGTGGCAGCTAAGAAGTCAGCCCGCATGGTTTGACCAAAGCGGCCGTGGTTTGGAAATCCCGGCACGGTTTTGCGGCAGCTTCAGACGTCACAAAATACTTAAAACTGCGCTTTTACAAACCGAATACTTAACAGAACTTCACGCTTCATTTATTTATCAAAGGCGATGCCAGTTTTAATAAAAACAATGCAAGCGGTTTTGACTCATGTTATAAAAAAACATCATTTTTAGTATTTTAAATTTTTTTCCAATAATTTCAGAGCCTCGTGAAGAAGATGCAAACGTTATCGAAGTCCCGAAATTCGAAGAAAACGTTCAATCTATCCCACAATTTCCTCTGGATGATGACGCTTTTATACAACATCCCAGGCAAAAATTCATATTGAAACCAAAACTTAAGAATAATCTTGACGACCGCGTTATACTGGCAATTCCTGAATTTGGAATAGAAGATTTTGATTATAACTTTAAATAAATTTTGAAAATATTTATTGATAGTTATTGCAGGAAAAATCATTTTGGAATCTCGCGAAATAGTTGATGAACGGAATGTGTAGACTTTCTGGTTTTAATGATTTACATGTTTAGTTTATTGGGGTAAATTTTCATCTGATTTATGTTGATTTTATTGAACTAAACTTTACTATTATTTCGTTTTGTATTTTTGTGTTCTATGTAGTGACTTTTCCATGTTCTGAGTTTCTTTTTTTATGAAATAAATTTCAATATTTGCTACTAATGTGCAGTATGTCTTGCAGTCGTATTTTACGCTCAAGTAGTTTCATTCACACAGTCCGAATTGTTACATTTCGCGGTATTTATGTAATTGTTACTCATCTCTGCGAAAACCTAAATGCTATGGTCATATTAGTTGATCACCCTTGTCATTGCAAATAGGTATTTGAGTTAAAAAGGTGAAAAGCGCCAGAACGTACGGTCTGTGTGTCCTTCCTTAATTTCCTTTCGAATAGAAGATTTGTTCTCGTCAAAGCATCGAAACACCATTGTAAATTCGTCGCATCAAGAATAGTCTGACGGGTCCTCTAAAGAGCAAAATGAGAAAATTTTTGTGTGATAATCTGCAAGAAATTTATGATATAAAAAGTATTCCGCGGACCAGCAAAGGTAGAAAATCACTGTATTAGACAAATGCTTAATCATATATTAGGTACGAAAGATATTTCTAAATTATTTAAATGATCTAACTGCTGCATGTCTTGGAATTGAGGCAGAAAACTTCCGAATTATAAAATTCCACCGTTATTAATTTTTGTGACCTCCCGCTCCAAACGAGACTCTATAAGAGCAACCACACTTATTTAGAAGTTACGTACTGTGTCTTATAAATATATAATCTTTGTCTATCTACTGCGCTAGTGATTTATACCATGATCATCAGATGGGAAATCAAAGAAATCGAGATTTTAAACCCAAAATACCGAAAATGTCAGAAATAAGGCAATAACCACCAGTTTTGCCTTCGGTTGATCTCAAATCACGTGATTTGTCAAACTCGGACTCGACTAACCACCATATATACTCGGGGGAAATTTTGCGAAATCTTTGAAATAAGGAAGAAAACAGTGAAGTACGAATCATCACGCAAGTAAATATGTTATTAGAAAAATAGGAAATTTAGTAGCCTGTTGCAAAATCTACTCGATATAAGCTTTATTGATGTCGGTGTGGTCGAATACATGGCTATATCCTGGTTTTATTTTCAAAATGTTGGGAAGTATCACGCCTCAGTGTCAATGTGACTTATATTTATTCATTTCACTGTTGTAGGTTTATGAAATCTATTATTTGTCGAACTGGACTTGTGGCTCAGTACATCAACAACTCGTGACTAGTGACGCGGAATGCGATGACTCGACTTGGCCTGGGACTCTAACTATAAAATTTGCTGTCGCGTGGATGTGTCTCGGGTCTCGGATAACATGTGACTAGATTTTACACGGACACGATGTTCTACCAACACTGAGTAATCAATCACTAGGATCGGAAGTGGGACTAGGTCGGAATTTTTTTGACAAGGAAGGATAATATTACTTCATTTTGCATTTCGTGTCCATATTTATGAGCATTTCTCTCGTTTCTTATTCATTTGTTAGAATGGTGAGTATAGAGGGCTTGCACGATGCACGTGACTTTGTTTACTGGACGGAAAAAAAACAAAAACGTCCATTTGGCTCCTGTCAGTTGCAAGTCAGATTATACGTTTCCGTTTTGTTTGGCTGTTGAAAATGGTTATTTCGTATTGTTCCGTTGGCTGTACATATAGTATAGACAACGAAATGGATCTTCAGTTATATTCCACTGTTTTCAAAAGATCCGGAACGTCGCGCAATGTGGATATCATCTATTGGCAGGACTGCTTGGTGTCAAGTCCAGAATAGGGTTGCCATACCATCCGGAAAATTCCGGACATGTCCGGAATTTAGGGTTGAATTTTGCGTCCGGGAAGAATTTTAAGAAATGCTCAAATGTCCGGAATTTTACTGCATCTGCAATCGTTCTGTGAACACTGCTAATGCAGAACATTGTTTATTAATATCCTTCATTACTACAAGAGGAAAATGCGTGCCCATTGAAAATAGATACCAATTGAAACGTTTATTTTTCCTGATCTTGCGTTGTTTTGATTGTGACGCAACAATGTGAAATTCACGGCTTTATAGGCAAACTGTGCAATCTCTAAAGACAGCGTACTGCGAGCATTGGAGTAATAGATTATGGTTATTGGAACTAGGGGGAGTTTTTAAGAATTCATTAGATGGGCAGGCGACAAGGGCAATAATATCAACACGAAGATTTAATTTAGTTACATAAGGTCAATGAATTGTTGTTGCAACAAATTGATAGTCAATATATCATAATTTTGTTCGGTGTCTGTGTCTGATTACCCTAGGTTCGCGTTGACAGACAAAAATTGACAGGAAAAAGGTTGAGAACCCCTGACTTGGAACTTTCTTGAACCGTTGTGCTGAATATGAATTGGTTAGATATAGATCACATGCTGCGAAAGTTACTAGAACATTCCATCTATAAAAGTAGGCGATTTCCCACATTTATCAGAGATTAACTTAAACTGTCATAGAGGAGGGGGCCAAGTGAATTTTTGATACAGAATTTTTGACTGCTGACTGGGCTGCGTTTATTGCATAGATTATACTGAGTAGCTTTGCTAAGTATTGTTGATTGACTATTATTATCTGACTTTTTAGCCGTTTCGTTGAGCAGCTGCAAGTGTATTTGATAGCAACTAGTGCTAGTCCCTTATTAAGTTAGCTGAATACAAAAGTTTTATACCACAAAGCTTTACTTGTGGAATTCGGGATCGAAAGTGATAGACCCTATAGCCTTTTGGTTCAGTTAGTCTGATGGTAAATTACTTTGTTTTTTTTCGATTATGTATTTTTAGTTGGGTTGTATTTATTGTAAGAAGATATTATTTCAAATGGCTAATTTTAAAAGAAAGTGCACATTCACTAACGAGATGCAAGAAAAACATCCATGTTTTAGAAAAGGCAGGAATGATTATGAGGCAGAATGCTTGGTTTGCAATTCAGGAACTTATATATCTATCGTGCACAAAGGTAATGGTGATTTAAACACACATCTGCAATCGGAAAAACATCGCAAAGCAGTAAGAGGGGCTGTTGCATCAACGAAAATGACAAATTATTTTGCTACAGCAGGAAGCAAATGCGAAGATGAAATCACTGCCGCAGAAGGTACGCTTGCATTTCACGCTGTTAAGCATCATCATAGCTTTTTGTCCATGGACTGTACATCTGCTTTATTTAAAAAGATTTTCCCTGATTCTAATGTAGCGAAGAAGTTCATTAGCGGCCGCACAAAGACATCAAAAGTTGTTACTAGCGTTCTTGCGCAATATTTTATTGATGATGTTCTGAAAAGTTTTGAAGAAAACGATATCGCGTAATTTGGCGTTGCAACAGATGGCAGCAATCACAATGAACTGAAATTATTTCCTACAATTATTCAATATTTTGACTGGAGGAATGGTGGTTTGCAATCAAAATTGATTGAGTTTACAAACAAGGCAAACGAGACTGCCGACACAATTGCCACTTATATAAAAGACACTTTAGAAAAAATGATGCTTTTGAAAAAATGTGTGTCATTTACAGGAGACAACTGCAATACTATGTTTGGAGGACTTCGGCGTAATGACCAAGGAAACAATGTGTTTGCAAAGTTAAAGAAAATGTTAAACCCGTCATTGATTGGGGTTGGCTGCCCAGCACACGTTTTGAACAATTGTATTCATCATGGCGCTGAAAGAATGAACATCGATATTGAATATAATATCAATAAGATATATCAATATTTTTCTATTTACACAGTTAGAACTGAACAACTGAAAGAATACTGTGAATTTGCGAATTGTGAATACAAGAGACTTCTTTCTCATAGCAAGACTCGCTGGCTCTCCTTGTTTCCTGGAATTTCAAGATTGTTAGAAATGTTTTCACCCCTGAAGTCCTACTTTTTGTCACAAGAACATCCACCAATAGTTATTAAACGGTTCTTTGAGAATGAAATGAGCGAGTTATACCTTTGGCATATGCACTCACTGATGTCCGTGTTTCATGGACGTATTCAAGTGGTTGAGAGAGAAAACAATTCCGTCGCAGAAGTGCTAGAAAATTTGGAGCTGGTTCATAAGGTGCTTGTGGAAAGGAAGAATGAAAGCTTTATGTCCTTGACGGTTAAAAGGCTTTTAAATGAAAAAAGAGAAGAGGGATATGAAGATGAATGTAACAATTTTCTTTCCGAAGTTGCAAACCTCTATGAGAGATGCCTGGAGTACCTGTGTAAATGGATGAAACCAATGGAAGAGTTTACTTGTTTCAAATGGATGACCTTGAACGAGATACCAAGTTGGAAGGATGTAGAGCCTTGCCTGGAATATCTGATTGGCAAAGGGGTCGATGTGGACGATGCAAAGTGCTTTGACCAAATCTGTAACTTGAGGCAGTTTGTGGAAAGTTACGTACAGGACGAAGAATTTATTAAACTGCCAACGCATAAGAAATGGTGCAAATATTTCGATCAGTCTACGAACATCACATGCCACTCAGAAATTTTAAGGATTGTACAGTTTTTCTTTGCTGTTACATCCCACAATGCCAATGTAGAGAGAGTCTTTTCCCTGATGCAAAGTCAGTGGACTAAAGAGAGAAACAAGTTGAGCGTTGCGACCATGAAAGGCATATTGACTGTTCAATATAATTTCAAAAATATGCGCTGTAGTGAATTTTTTTCATTTTTAAAATCAGACAAGGCCCTATTGAGGAGAATTAGATCTTCAGAAAAATATGCATGGTCAGAAGAGTAAATTTGTAGTGACTTGACTTACAAGCGTGTCTTCAATTCGTTTTCCCTGTTCGGCACAACCTAATTGTCATTATTATTTGAGATTAAAGTTGAGATTTTTTCAATGACGGTCCGTAGCTATATTTAGGGCAACGGTGCACAACCTGCTCCCCCTTCCCGACTTTCGATTTTTTTTTATTGTGCAACCATTATGCAACTTGCTGCAATATATCTGCTCAAGAATAGTTCCACCGGAAAGAAAAATCCGTTTGAAATACGAATATTATACTTCCAACCGAGTAGTCCTACATACTTTATAATTGGGCAGACTGCACCTCGCATGGGTCAAATATGCGGTTATGACGTCATAAAAGCCAAAAAAATTATAACGTC